TTGTTAAGGCTTTTTCTTAAAAACAACAAAAGTGATATTAAAGTGAGTCCAATGGGATCTGAAAATCACAATCACATGGCTGCAAAATAAAGATCCTTCTCCTTTGTGAATTCAATGTAATGTCTATAGAATCCTGACCACCATCTCCCCCTTGTGGTGTCATCAGGTAATGCAGACACGTTCAATTCAATATTCAGAAATTAATAATAAATAATAAACACATAAAATAATAATAAACGCATAAAATAATGATAAATAATAAACATATAAAATAATAATAAATAATAAACACATACAATAATAATAAATAAAATAATAATAAATTAATAAAATAGGAGCCAGTAAAGCATTGCAGCTGCGATCAGAGGATCAGTGGATGGCAGGTGCAATGCTCTGGCTCCTGCAGACCGCACTTCCATTGAGGACTACAGTCCCTCTGCGGCGGTGGCTACCGGCATTCTGCTATGGCCAGATCATCAGCTTTAGCCAGCAGCCCATTGTTGCTCCGTCATACTGTATCCGGGTCATTTGAAGCTGCTGGATCAGTATGACGGGAGGACAGACCCGCCTACATTTGCTTTGCTTTCCATTTGCTTTGGAGTTTAAGTTGATTAGAAAAAGACATGAAAAACATGAAATATTACGATGGGGACTTGAATTAGTTCAGGGGTAGGCAAGCGCCAGCTTTTTAAGGAACTACAAGTCCCATGAGGCATTGCAAGATCTCTGACAGTCACAGGCATGCCTCCCAGGGGCAGATGCATGATGGGATGTGTAGTGTCACCACAGCTGGAGTGCAGAGGTCGCCCGCCCCTGTGTTAGGTTGTATACATGGCGTCTCTGGTTAGGGGATTAGCAGCGTTGGGTGATGGATGGACAGGGGAGGGATTAGCGGAAGGACAGAGATACCCTCCGTCCCCGATGGCGACTTCAGGCCGTTCAACCAATCAGAGCGCACAGAACGGGGGAGTTGCCATGCGGGGACAGCGAGGGTTCTCTGGAAGGACTCGGCACATACAAACCTTCGGCCTGAACAATCTCCCCAGCGTGCTGCTCTTGGAGCTGTCGGCCTTCTTCTGACCCTTCACCTCCGTCTCCGGGGTCTGCTGCGCGGCGCCCTTCCCTTTCTCCTTCTTGGAAGAGGATTTGCGCAGGCCGCCATTTTCCTTTTTCTTGGGGTGGGGGGGATGGGGAGGGGAGAAGATATAATATATGAGAAGGTGGCTGTGAATGGTGATCTTGGCCACACGGCAGATGCTGGAACTGTGGCAGCCCATTCATAAAGTGCTGCAGGTGGATTCTGATTGGTCGCTGGGGGTCACGTGGCTTGTTTTCATTGGTCTATCTTCTTATTATAGAAGACTGATCTTACCGGGACATAATACCAATGGGAGGCAATTACCCAAATGTTGGGTGACACCATCTAGAACAATTGGGGTCACCGAGAACTGCTTTGGACAGATTTCATTGGAAGGTTGAACCCGAGCCAAAACATCAGCCCCCCATTGAGTAGATTAACCTCACTTCCTGTCCTGGTGACCACACAGTGAGGGGAATCTTCTCAATGGAGGCATAAATTGTCATAATAATTGGGCAGAGGATCTAACCCTTTCCTCTTACTTCCTGCTCCATTGACTACACAAGATGAGAGGGGAATTTCTTCAATGGGGACAATTGCCATAAAACGTGGACAGGAAATCATTGGGGAGATTTCCCATACTTCCTGGCCCAGTAACCACACAAGGAGGGAGGGGTATCTCCTAAACGCAGACACAAATGGCCATATAAACTTGACAGAGGATCTAACTCTTTCCCCTTCCTCCACTTCCTGCCCCAGCGACCACACAAGGAGGGAGGAGAATTTCAGCAATGGGGAAACCAATGGCCTTAAAAAAATGGCCAGAGGATCTAATCCTTTCTTTCTTTTGCTGTCTCTGCCCCCATTGGGAAGATTTTCCTGACTTCCTGTCCCGGTGACCACAAATAGAGGGAGTGGAATCTCCTCACTACAGACACAATGGCCATTTAAATTGGAATATAATAGAATATCTAACCCCATATCCTCACTTCCTGCCCAGGTGACCACACAAGGAGGGAGGGCAATTTCTGCAATGGGGGACGCCAATGGCCGTTAAAAAAAACTGGGCAGAGGATCTAACCCTTTCTTTCTTTTGCGGTCTCTGCCCCCATTCTCCTGACTTCCTGCCCCAGTGACCACAAAAGAAGAATCTCCTCAATGACCATAAAAACTGGTCAGGGCATCCCACCCTTTCTTTCATTTGCTGCCTCTGCCCCCATTAGGGTGATTTCCTGTCCCGGTGACCACACAGGGAGGGGGAATCTCCTCAACGGGGACACAAATGGCTAAAAAAAACCTGACAGAGGATCCAACTCGTACCTAGTATCTACCTTACAGAACAGCCCTCGCTTCCTGTCCTGGTGACCACACTAGAAGTGAGCTCTGTCTAGCGATGTTCAGTGGTCTGCGGAATGATGGTATAGATGCATGCAGCGCTCCGTGTCATTCTGCATGGTAGAGCCATTGAGGATACTACAAGAGCCTGCGTTTTCTTTGCAGAAAGCGACCCGGAGAGGAAATGTGTCTCTTCCACAACATTGTATCAGTATGCTGAAGAATCCGGAACCGGTCCTGACTCTCTCCTGAATGGGGTCAGCGCTCTCACTGACTTGTATTGGCCCCCAATGGGGACTAGACCCAGGTACGGGCCCATTGTTAAAGGGGCAGCGCCCTCAATAAGATCGTCCGTCTCGGGGTGAGGCCCTGTCTCGGCAGAGCCGGGTGATTTCCCTCCTTGTAGACTTGGCTGCCTGCGGCCACTCCTATACAAACACGGCTCGCCCTGCTCACAGCCATGGGAAGGTAAACACAGCCAGCCGGATGTAGGAAAACCTATCGCTGCCGAGTGAGGAGCCCGGGCACTGCCAGCTATGACGGACCCAAAAACATCCCATTTCATTATTATAAAGGGGCGGGGTTGAGAGAACCCCTGGGCAGATTCCTATGGGGGGACCTATGGGGGATGGTCATTGTCCTCTGCACTGGTCACGTGACCCAGCTCCAGCATTTTTGATTGCAGCTATTTTGTTCGGTTCAGTAACCCGTTCATGACCAGAGCCCACTGAAGCTTAGAGCTCAGAGCAGGTTTAGGTGCGCCAGTTATCTGGAATAATGTGTCGGCTTGACAGCCGGGGTCTGAGAACCAGGAGCGCACACAGCTGGGCATTCCTAACTTCTCTGCTGTAAAGCCCATTAACATGTTCATGGAAAGGCCGCCATGTTGTAGGACTTGAATAAACAGTAAAAATACTTTGGTACGGCTCGATGGACATACAGATCAGGTCAGTAGAACATTTCCACGGATGTCTTTGTTCTGGGGGCCCTGGACTGTGGTAGGTAACGCTTTTCGGGTCACGATTTGGCGGTTGATCCAGCAGATCGCTATACCGGCCCTTCTATAGGCCATATACGGCCATCATCAGAAGAGAGAATGGTCATAGTCAGGACTATCCTGTGGGGGGGATAAAGCTGCTGCAACAAGAAGGCCGACGCCTTTTTCTCCTTTCCCATAATCCTCTCTGCTTGCAAATTACGCA